GTCAGGTCCGCCGCGACGCGTCGCCGCAATGGCGGGCAGCGACGTGGTGGAAGCCATGCGGCTCTCCCTCAAGCCGTTTAATATCCAGCACCTCGCCGACGACTGGAACGCTAACCGTACTTACTTACAGCTGTCGGTACAGAGATGCCAGCACCCCCTAGCAGCAGAGCGCTGCTGCTGGGGGGGGGGTCCCGACCCCCCCAGCAGCAGAGCGCTCCTGCTGGGGGGGGGTCCCGACCCCCCCAGCAGCAGAGCGCTGCTGCTGGGGGGGGGGGGTCGGCCATGACTTTAGATATGTGCAGAGGGGGTACCGAGCAGTGTGCGGCCGCTCCTTTACAAGGGGTAAGATCGAAGTGAGGGGGCCTCCGCAATGGGTGAAATATGAGGTCGTGACGCGGCACACGCAAAATCCATGCAAGGAAAATCCTCACCCCCAAAAGGGGGCGGGAGGCGATTTCTTGATGAGGTCTCGAGATTTATTGCAGGCCCACCAGGGTGGTTTTTTTTTGGGGGGGGGTGGGGGGTTCGCGACGACAAGGCACAGGCACCGACGCATGTTTTAAGACCCTCCGAGCTCCGTGGGTATGGCTATATGGGATCGTCCACTTCCTGAGAGAGCCTGCCGTCGGGCCCCGAGACTGAGTGAGTGCTCGTTTGCCCCCGAAAAGGTATATCCCCCTTGGGTAGAATGGGAACGTGAGCAAAGAGGAGCCCTGTGGGCAGGATTCCGCAGGACACAGAGCCATCCATGCTGCTGCGGAGCGGGGGAAAGACATGCACGCGTGACCCGCCCGCGCTCAGCCGCATTTTCGCCCCCCCCCCCCCCCGCAGGTGCCGGGGTGGTCGGAGAAGTCTATTACTATTTCGGCCGGACACTCAGTCTGATCCTCTCCGTTATACTTAGCTAGTTCCATTCACGGTGGCACCTGGCGAGTACAGACCACATGTCACGGCCACCGCCGGCTCGGCCCCACGATAGCCTCCGAAGGCTGACTTTGAGGCACCATCATCGGACGATGTCGACGAGTTGGGTCGCTCTCGCGGTAGCCAGATGACCTCTCATACAATGCGATGCGAGTTAATGCGCAGTTCTTCTCTGCACTATAGCCCTTGAGAAACAGCTCGCATTATGCAAACCTGTGCCTGTGTCCTAGGAAGTAGACTGGGAGGGGTACTCCCAAAGGCAAGAGGAGGTCTGGAGAGGCCCACAGCGGTCAGGAGAGGCCCCAAGAGGGTGCTAGATGAGAGTCAGCCTCGTGATGATCGCACGCGAGGACCGAGGTTCTCGATGCCGTACCTGCCGGGCGAGGCGCGGGGCGAGGGAGGCAGCAGCCTCTTCTCCTCGCCGCCGGCGCTCCCCACCCCCTCCTCCTCCTCCGCCGCGCCGGATCGAGTCGAGCATGCTGTGGTCGTGCAGCGCCGCCGAATTCTTTTTCTCGGCTCCTGAGCGAGCACTTGGCGGCGAAATACACAAGATGAGACCCGTGCCGCTGCTCTCGCTCGCCGGCGAGTACCTCGATCGCGTCGAACACCTTGCAGACGTCCGCAGCGGGCAGGTGCTCACGCGCGCAACCTCGGCGGCGCCGCCGCCGGCCGCTGCCAGCGAAGCTGGCGGGGCCGGCCTCTTTTGCAAGACGAGCAACGTGCGTTTCGAGACTGCCGAGGCGCTCCGGCAGCACTACCACTCGGACTGGTACCGGCTGAACCTCAAGCGCGCGGGCCGGGGCGAGCCGCCCGTGAGCGAGGCGGGGTTTGAGGCGCTCGCAGACTCGGGCCAGCTGGCCGATGAAGAGCTCTCTGGTTCGGATTCGGACGGCGGCGAGCTGGAAGGCGGGCTGACCGGCGTGCAGGAGGACGAGGAGGGCGCCTCCTCCGCCTCCGCCGCCGCCGCCTCCGACCGCCGCGGCGACGCGCGCCTCTTGCTGAGGGATGGCGACGGGCGGCACATGCTGGCAGCCACGATCTGCCTCCCGCCCACCGCACGATCCGCCGCACCGAACCCTGCCGCGGCCCGCGCGCAGGTGTGGCACGCCGCGATCGAGGCGCCGTATACCCGCGGCGAGGCTGGCAGCGAGGCGCCGCCGCCGCCGCCGCCGCTCGAGAGGCTCCGGCTGTTTTGCACGCGCCGGCCAGCACCGGTGTGGGCAGTGGTGCTGTGCCGTGGCGGGCACTTCGCGGCGGCCGTCTACACGCTGCCGTCGAGCGCGGCCTCGGAGGAGAGCCTCAAGCCGCTCGCGCACCGCTGCTTCCACCGGTACGTCACTCGTCGCAAGGCTGGCGGACGGCAGTCGGTGAGATGCAGCCGAGACGCAGACGAGATACGTCCGAGATCGAGCCGAGCGATGTCTGTGGCAGTGGGCGCGCGAGAGACAGCCGAGGTTGAGCCGAGAGGTGCCCGAGAGGTGCCCGAGAGGTGCCCGAGAGGTGCCCGAGACTCGGTATGTAGCTCGCCGCGCGAGTCTCGGTCTCGGCTGCACCCTCGGCTGCCCCCTCGGCTGCCCCAGGTGGCGGACGCCTCGAAGAGCATCAAGTCGGCAGGCTCGTCCATTCGGAGGCCAGAGCTGCGCCCGCCACGCCTCTCACCCCCCCCCC